TGCTGAAGCCAATTAAATCATAACTCTGACTGTTGCCCCTTAGAATTAGATTAGGTTGAACATTATTGATCCCACACTGGGGAAACTGTTGGATTACAAAATACTGGACACACATCTCACTAATGTGAGCTAAAGGTCACAATCCAACCCTAAGTAGATTTGATCTGCCACTGTTAGTTAAACCATTATCATATTTAATTATAATCCTCAAATACAGATGTTTCTTTTGCTGATGTTACAGCAGCTTTCTGAATTTTAAATATAAAACTTTTACCTTACTACTCAGAAAGAAAGTCAGAATACTTAAATAGTGTTTGGAATTTAGGAGTAAAGTAAAATAGTGAACTTCTGACTAAAAATGGACACATTTTATAAAAAGAACAATAATAACTAAGGTCAAATTTCTAAGAAAAAGAGGAATTCCTCATGTCTGTTCTCTTCTCTAATAAGTTAATGAATGAATGGTTTCAGCTCCACCAACCTACAGTCCTGGTGACTTATGTTGTACAAATCCAGATATTCATTCAGATTTATCAACATTTTTTAAGTGCTTTAAAAAACTAACCCCAAAAAAGGTCATTTTTGGGAAGAATATTTTGGTGCCAATGTCAAAGTAGGTCAGAACGGTTAAAAAGAAAGTTTGGCAAACACCAAAAGTAGGGCACGAAGCAAAAAATAAATAAATAAATAATAAAAGTAGGGCACGAAGCAATAAATAAATAAATAATAAAACAATTTAATAAAAAACAATAACATCTGATCATTTGAGACGGAGAAGACTCGGCCGATGAAGGAAAATAAATAATCCTGCGGGGCTTTTCTGGGGGTCACTGCATGGACACTCTGTCTTCCTGGCACACAGACGCGATCAATACAGGACAACGAGGGGGGAAATGATGAAACCTCGGCTTACTCCCTCATTTAACTGAGCTCAGCCTCTCGTTCCCCCCACAGAGGTCAGGCCCCAAAAACAAAGAAAAAAATCCCAGACATTATCTTTATTACAGGTGAGCCAATAATGGCTGAGATTTATGGCCATGTCAATGATCAATGCTTGTTAGGACGTCCCAGACTGCACTGGGGTAAAAGGCTAAGGGTCACATGGAGACATCTAGAAATGTGCTTTTACAGCTTTCAAAAAAAGTTTTAAATTATTTTGTGGTGAATCTAATAAAGTGAGAAAATATGTACAATCCTGATGTCTCTTCTGCCGTGATTAGAAATTCTAATATTTATGAAACAAACTGGAATTAAGTAACATTTCTGGGGAAAACGCCAGAATTGAGCAAGTCAATCAGAATATAAGGAAAAATTTAAAGTTTACTCCAAATAAATTGGAGTCAAATTGCTGAGAAAAAAGTCTGAATTCTGCTTAATAATTGTACGTCTCAATCCTGACTCTCAAAATCAAAAACATCTTCTTCATGAGGAATGACTGGAGTCTGAATTCTGACAGGTTTATGGGAGAATTGGAAATTCCATCCTAATCCTGTCTCTAATCTCTCAGTCAGAACTTTAGTCTGTTGTAAAAAAAAAAAAGCAGTCAGAACTTTAGTCTGATGTAAAAAAAACAGTTCACAAACTGTCAGTTATCTTGCAAGTTAAAAAACAGAATTCTGATCATATAAACAGAACTGTCAGTTATCTTGCAAAAACAGAATTCTGATCATATAAACAGTTCACCAAATAAAAACAGGTCGGAGTTATCATTTATTTCCTCCGAGGATTAGAATCATATAATCCAATATTTTGTGACTGGTGACGGAGTTCTGAATGAATACCGAGAAAAAACTTTCCTTCATATTTTAACTTCACATTTCGAAAGCCTCTTATTTTATTTGATAAACAAAAAGATTCTTTGGACTCTACGGTCAGAAGAATCCAGTGATTTCAGACTTTGGAATCACATCCTGATCCCTGTAACCTTTAATTTATTTGTTTATTTTTTACTGCGTAGAGCCTTTTTTTTTGTGTCTTTTTTCTCCACATATTTAATTATAATAACTGTCTGAACTTAGAATTCTTCAGAATCTACTGTCAATTCTATGATTCTAGAAAATTCAAGGCATCATCGATGAATTTAAAACCAAAACTTCCACACTTTGATTCTGAGACCGTGGTCAGAATTTCATTTTATTAATTTAACCCCTGGATTATAACTCCGGTCCCATAATTCTGACTTCTGCCTCAGATTATTGACTTTGTTGTGAAAAGTAAATGAATGAATAACAAAATCAGTGTAAAATCTGACCTTAACCTCTGAGCCTGGACCGTTCACTGATAAAGACTGGGGCTGGGTGCTGTCTAGACAGTCTCAGTTAAAAATGTCCATCCATTTACTCAGTCACACAAGAGGACAACAGCAGCACAACAATTAGACTGGTTATTATCACTGTTATTAAAAATGTTATGATCAGGCGTCATGTGAGGACAAATATAACGACACAGCTCTGCATGAAGTCCCTTCAGCCTGGAGAGACAGATTCAACATCCCTGCAGGACAATGTGGACAATCTGACAACAACAATAATCTCTGACACACACTAGCAAACAAATACACACACACATACTCCATATTCAGAGCAGAGACAAGACCAGGCAGCACATAATCAATCCCATCACGAGGTGTGTGTCTGCCATGCATTTTGCGCGGCTTGGCGACTCAGTCACAACAGGGATTAAAATAAAACACACAACCTTCAATATTCCATGCACAACTGGAATGTTGGGAGGAGGTGAGGGGGTGAGGGTGAGGAGTGGGGGGGTAATTACCACAGAGCACGGAATCACTGTTGTTTTTGTTAGTAATAATCCCAAGTATCCACGCTGATAGGGAAACACACTACAGGTGGACTCGGATCCACACACACGCACACACGCTCTCACAGTGGTGTCGCGCTAGATAAAGTCAACCACAGACAGATGTATTTGCCAATTTTCCGCACCTTTAAGTGTTCTGACTGCAGCCGACCTTTCGGAATTTGGAGACAAATCCTGCATCCGGTGTTCCTGTCAGTCTGAGTGACTGGGAAAGTGCCGCTGGTTCGGATTTTTCTTTTTTTTTTTCTTATTTTTTTTTTTTTTTAAGGCGAGCATACAGAGAGCAGTGTCCTCATCATGATGTCATCACGGCTAAATGAGCCACACTGGTGTGTGTGGAGACAGCCGTGCAGAAACGGCGGTTGAGCGCAGCTGATTGGGTCCAGAAATGAGGCGAAATGCGCGTGAAAACGCGTGAGAATACGGGGGAATAAAACCGAGACGGCGCGCGTCCGCGTGAAAGAGCCAGACCTCTCACGTCCTCAGCTGGCTGGAACAGATCTTCTCCACAGAATACTAACAAACCAGCGCCGGGGTGCGCGTGTAAGACACACACAGAGAGAGAAAGAGAGAGAGAGAGCGTGTGTGAGAGTGTGAGTGTTAGGATGGCAGAAAACGTTTATTTACACCGTGCGTAAAATTTACACGCACGAAAAAAAAAACCCCGCAAACTTCCAACACCTTGCAGGTCCAACACTTGTTTCCTTCCCCCTTTTTTTTTAGATCGTGCGCTCCTCTCCTCTCCTCACCTCACCTCCCTTCCTCTCCTCTCACCTTCTCTCGGAGCGCACGATTCTCCTCAACTTATCGGTGCCAAAGTCTGCGTTCGTCGCTGCAGCTTTAACTTCCAGCGCTGAGGTTGAACGGGGACAGCGGCTGCCCTCCACCTTCTCCACCATCCGTCCCCGCAATCACCCACCAACTACAGCCTCTGGGCACACGCACAAACACAACACAAACGCATGCATCCAAAAACGCGCATGTGGTGAATGAAAGTGCGCAGCTCCCTCTCCGTCCCCGCGTCCGAGCCACTTGTCGCTGTCTTTTCTCGGCTACTCACCTTAACTTGCAGCGGGTTCGATTTCACGGTTTATTGTGGATTCCGTCTGGTGCAGGAAGAAGGCAGAGAGAGTGTGAGGCTACAGCATAGTCCCGGCAGTTCGCACTTCCCCGCTCCTCTCCAACACGCACTAACTCCTTTCTTCTCCGGCTTCGGCGAATGATGACGGCGCTGACGTCAACAGCGCAGCCAGTCACTCACTCAGTCAGTCAGTCAGTGTGTGTGTGTATATGTGTGTGTGTGTGTGTTTGTCCAAGTGAAACAAGCAGCAGCAGCAGCAGTACTAGGGCTGCCCGTCTGCTGCTGCTGCTCCACAGACGCACAAACAGTGAGAAAGTGAGACACCTAGGGGACTGTGTTACTGTAGCCAGAGTAGTTATTATACAGTACAGTCTACAGGTCCGCGAGCCGATCAACAGGCAATGGAAGCAGTGCTGCTGAAACAGAAGGGATTTTTTAACTACTTTTGAAAAAGTTTTTAAATAAATAAATAAGTGTACAGAAAAAAATCTCGGTCCCTTTAACAGACCAAAAAAAAAAGCTTATGCCAAGTGAACCAGTTATAAAATAAATATATAATGTCGGTCCCTTTAACAGACAAAAAAAAGCTTGTGCCAAGTGAACCAGTTATAAAATAAATAAATAAAATATTACAAAACATCTGCCGACTGATAATGGAAGCATCAAGAGATGTAAATGGTATTAAAACAGTGTGAGTGAGAGAGAGTGTGATCAAACTGGAAAAAGGAAGTGTAAAAAAACAGCTTATAGTTCATAAACAAGTTGAAGAATTTGCAAAAAAGTTTCTGAGAAGTTGTGCAATCACTTCACCTCTAAAATAAAGCCTGATGGAAATAATAACTAAACTTGGCAGTTTGCCAAAAAAAAAGTAAAAAGAAAAGATAAATAAAACTTAAATAACAAATTAATAAAAAATAAAACAAGTTGCAACCGCATTACTGCTGTGACTGCGGTGGAAACAGGAGTTTGTTACAGTTAACACTACAGGGCCACGATTCACAGCTTTACTGTTGAGAAAATGAGAAAATAAAAATGAACAATACTTTATCTAAAAAATAGCTTAGAAAAAAAACAATACTTTATCTAAAAAATAGCTTAATATTGAACCAAAAACATTAACAAAAATGTAAAATGAATTGCAAGAATTCCAGTTCATTGAACTAAAGATCAGTGATCTGAAAATACATGCCAACTGACACAGATTAAAGTAGGAATGAGTTATAAAAAACAGAAGAAAAAAAAACGTTTTCAAAGTAAGAAAACAAATACTGCACAATTCTCTGGGAGATATCTAAAAGTCTGATGAACAATAAGCTAAAGGTTAGCTGCACAAAGCTGGAAGCTAGCGCTAACAAGGTGGAAAACTAAAAGACTTTGAGCTGCGTGGAGGTGAATAAAAGCTGACTAACACACTGATGCAGATACTTGACTGTCATATCTAATCCACTTCCTCACAGTTGAGCTCTCAGCGACTGACTTTCAGACAAACAGTGTTCTGGTGCATTTACAGCCTCCTGACTGTCAACACTGCTCTACATTTCCTCTTTTCTTCCGTGTTGACCAATAACCACAGGACAAAGTGGATGTTACAGCACATTATCGTTCAGCCGCCTTTAACTCCAACAGTCTCTTCTTTTTAAAAGCGTGGTTTAGAGGCTGATCAATGTTCGGCCGTAATCATGATCACTGACTCTGGTTATATTGGTTTTTACTTCTTTACATCTCAATTCTGCAGCTCCTCTGTGCTTCAGAAGCTAAAGTACAAACGTCCGTGCGTTAGGAAGAAGAAGAAAAGAAGTCAAGGGGAAAGAGAGACAGATTCGGTCACAGGTTTTCAGTGATTGCTAAAAGGTTCTTTCGTGAAAGTAGGTAGAGGATGATTCCATAAAAGTGGAAGCTAACAATAATGATGAGTTAAGTGCAGATAACTTCTCTTATAACTCTTATTTCTAAAGATGGTGCAATTGCTCACGGCAGAAGACTTCTGGTCGCACTGTAGCACTATCTATCCATCTATCCATCTATCTAATTTGTCATAGTGCTTTATGTAGGATACTCTAGGAAAGAAATGGTCAAACTATGGCCCGGGGGGGATGGGGGGGGGGTGGATGTGGCCCGTTCAGCTTTGTAATTTTCCAAATTTGTCCAAATGATATAATTGGTTTGTATTGTGATTATACTTTTGCCTTTTCCCTGCAATGTCCACATTTTCCCTACCAATGGCGTAAAGCAGGCTACCGCGTTTTTTTTTTTTTTGGAATTTTAGCCTTTATGTGTGACTTACAAAGCTAAAAAAAGGTCAGCAATTAAGGTAAAAATCTCCAAATCATAACTAAAGGATAACCAAAAGTGTAAAATATACGACAGCCCTAAAAAAACCCAACTAGACTAAACAGTGTAGCTCATCTCAGGGTGTATCAGACAAGTTAAGTCACCTTTTTTTTTGCCCGAGGGTTGTGTCAACACCTCCTCCGCCGGTGCTGATAAAAATGGAAGACGAGCGGACGGTCAGGTCAGAAGACATTATCCGGAGGAGGACAGCAGGTCGTTCAGTGTCTGTGACGCGTCACTCCACAACTTCACTCATTGAGCAGCAGAGGTGGACAGCCAACCTCGGTTAGCCCTGTGTCAAGGAGAAATACAGATTAATATCAGTGTTGACCAATGACATGTCAGTTTAATGCAGTTAATTAAAAAAAACTCCAGGTTTTATTCGCCATACTTTAGAAATAACCCTCACAAAAACAACAATAAGTATGCAGCAAAAAAAAAAACTGTCAATAAAAAAAGAACCCCAAACATTAGCGAAAAAACATACAAGTATTTCACATCACAATGACAGAACATGTCATTAACATATCATGCTGCACTGGTGTTCAAAGGTGACGGCAAACAATGCAACGCTCTAACAACAACAGTTTTTACAGTGTTCGACCAATAAAGTCTCCGTCAAGGTTTTTTTAATCAATTTCCCCCCACAATGCCCGTGTTGTGTTATGTTAGGACACTTCATATCCGACCACAGCTCCGTGAAAACCTCCAGGGAGATGCCGTTCAATCTTTTGGGCGTTGAGACTTCAAAGAGGAGTTCCAGCGGAACGATCGGAAG